CCTTGGAAAGAGCTCAAAAAATACCACACCCTTCCAATCCCACCAAATTTATAGCAAAATCTTCTTTTGGTGAATATCAGCTTTCAAGGTGGTTTGTGGTGGCTCATCACGTTTGGACCATAAACGTTTTCGCTTAATATTATCGTAAGCAATCTATTTTTTATCACCAGTAATTATTCGCTTCAAAAAAGGATCGAATTCATTGCGTTTGAGATGAGAATCGCAAGCATTGATACGCTTTGTTAAATGAATTTCTTTCAATTCATGTGGTACCCAAATATCAAGCTTTTTAACGAATCCAAGACGTTTTATATGATCGTGGATTGTTGATTTTGGTATTTTCAACTTCTCTCCAATCTCCCGCTCAGATAAATGACGATCCAACTTGATTATGGCTTTGATTTGGTCATCATCAGCTTGCAATGGCCGACCTAAACGTTGCTCATCTTTGAGTGAAAAATCTCCAGAACGGAACATATCAAACCAATTGCGGCACGGTCTTTCTTTTATGGCTTCCTCGCCATATACGTCACGTAACTTTTTAGCAGCCTGCGCTGCGTTTTTTCCTTTGCGGAAATAAGAAAGTAAAATATGACGAAAATGCTCGTTATTGGACTCAATACTAAAACTGACGCCAAACTAACAATTTTTAACAAAAACACGTGTAATTTGCTTCTCAAGTCAACTAAGAGTGACAGCTTACAAACGTCAAAAGAAAAAAATCATAACATTGACAGAAAACATTAAAACAGACGCTTAAAGCCATCTATTGGAGCCATCGGCAATTACTTTTCGGGCAACCCAATAGAATATGAATGATATTCCTTTTCTGTGCGTTGATATAGTATCACCCTTATTACACCACCTGACTTATACCAATTCCACAAGTTTTAAGGAAAATAAATAACATGTATATCCTTTTTAGCATATTCTTACAAGGTTGAAGGATTCTGAAGATTGAACTGGTGAGATTTTTGGAAGCTAAAAGTCTCAGAGGACGGTAAATATTAATCGACGGCGCTCCCGATCAGATGAAAGCTTTGAAAGAACAATACTTTCCTTTTATCAATATTCAGGAATTTTAGAATAATATTCTTAATGGCATATTGGATATGTTCTTTACGTTTGATAATCCAATGATATGTTGTAATGTAAGTTTTGCATTGTACATTGTGATACACTCAACAATGATGATTGTTATTAACAGATTCTAATTGAATTGTCCACGTGCAAGACGTGGGAGGAAAAGCTTAACGTTTTAATTGAGTACATACTCAATATGTCTAAACAACTACCTTTTGTTAAAAATTACAAGATTTATTGTACAACCATTTACAAGCATCTAATGGCCCTCCAAGAATACGATGCGTCTTTAT